GCATGTGAGGTAACAGCTTCTTGATCCAGGAACAATCATTATGAGGGCAATTTTTTCGCACAATTGGAAAGCACTTCTGTATTTTTTATGCCTTCTTTTGGAGCAAAAACAATTTGAGAAAGGCTGAAATGGGCACAAGTATATTTTGTAACTATATAACTCCACCTCCATCAGACCATAATACTACCTGTTTGGTTAAAAGACAAACAATACCACTCTGTATACACTACTAAATCTAGTGGATTCACAAATCTGTTGCATTTGAACGAGACAACCCTGTACATATACATTTAAATCAAAATACATTTAGAATGACGTTATGAATACATATCCCTTTAATGACAGCAGACATACTAGGTATGTCCGACCAAAAATGGTTGTTAAGGACCGCGGACATATTAGGAGTCCTGGACTTACCTGGACCGGCGATCCACGGTGATCACGGTTGGGGGGGGAGGACGACTGCCAGAGACATCAGCAGTCCCCCTGCAGCAGCTCCGGCCACACTGGCCCTCCAGGGCCATGTGATCACTATGATCACACTGCCGCAATAGGGGTCTATGGAGCTGCCATCAGGGGTACTGTAATAACTGGCTGTGTTTTTCTTTAGTTGAATAAGTCTTATATATATATATATATATATATATATATATATATATATATATATATACATATATTTCTTCTTTTGGGTCAGGCTCGCCACAATAATATATGTCTATATTATTGAAAAGTACTAATACGCAATCTGACGTTCTTTATAAAAAATAAGTATTTATTCTACATTCAACAGCAAACAATAATATAATTAACAGATGGTATTTCTTAACAACGTTACAGAGAGTCGTCTTTGTATCAGCAACTCAGCACATCAGAGAGTAGAGCAAAATGGATCGTAGCAGGAAGAGACTGTAGTCCTTTGTCCTTGGCTCTATATCGCCCAAATTACGTCATAACGTTTAGTTTAGACTCTGCCATATAAGGAAGTTCCCTATATAAAGACCACCTCAAATCTCTTATACAGCACATTCCAGAGACCTCATGGTACAGAATAGCAAACACTATCTGTTCTGATTAACCCATTAGACAGCAACACCTTAATATGTATTTGAATAGGAACATATAGAATATGCAATATTCTACATCTCCCTCTGTTTATGGTTTATTTATAAACCATAACAAAATGTTATTTACCTGTCCAGTCATACATCATTTGTATCACATTTCATATCACAGTCATTGGGTATAAGAAGAGAGGTGTTCATAGCTACCCAGTATCTGAGATTCCTTGAAAGTATTGTGTATTACCCTGTTTACAGTTTCCTTTAGTGTATTCTCCTTCTGTTTAACCTTTTCATTTACGAGTATATACAGTTTTCTAATTCTACATTGCATAATTACTTGTAAAACAATACATATTATAGATACACATACAACAATAATAAATGGATGAAATAAAATATTTACAATTGCTGATCCTACAGATGATTTAGCAAGTGTGTTTGTACTTTTAATTATGTCTTCCCACCAAGAGGAACTTGAAACAATTGACCATTCATGTTCTATCTCTTTAATTTACCCTGTTCATGTTCAAATTGAATTTCTGTTTCTTTCAACTGTTTTTGTAATGAATATAATAATGTCTTGTCTTTCCTAATCTCATCTGCCCACTTTCTCCATGGAAACTCATTTGTTTGTGAAACATTTAATTGAATAGGCATGATATCTATCGCTTGTATAGGACTCTTCAATATGTTAACTTGAGTTCCTTGTATATGTATTATTAGTGGACCCCCATTGATACAATATAACCCTTTCAGTAATGTTTCTGAATGTGTACATTCTGAAAATGTAGCTCTTACTAACTCATTATTTGACATAACCTGTACACATACTTTGTCTTTTTCTATGGGAGTTACAATTTCATGAGGATGTTTAACTGTTTTAATTTTACCGAAACATGAACTTTGGTTATGAAAACATGAATGATAAATGGTTTCAACTTGGTTATTTAAACATATTATTTTGGATGCAAAATGTAGACAACTAGAAAGATCTACCTGCTCAAGTTCAGTAATGTTATTATAAGATACAAAATCAGGATATTGTAATTTATAAAATAATAATTGTGTGTTACTAATAGGAATTCCTAATACCGACATTGAAAATAGTGTTTTTTCAATACCAGAAACTGGTATTAAGGAAGAACTTATACATATATCATTGTTACATCCCAACCATGTGTTAACCCATAAATCTGTATGATTTTTAGCGAACGCAAAATCCTCAGGTAAACTATGTTTGAGTTCTATAGGAGTAGTACCACCTTGTAATGCTTGTGCCATCACCTTAAAATCTGTAGAATATTCAACTTGTATCTCTAAACAAGCTTTGGCTACCTGGGATGAATCTGCATTTCTCATTAATGTCAAAGTAGCTTCCTGTAAATGTTGAACAGAGGGTGCAATAACAGAGGCTGTGTTCATAACCATATTTTTCAATATTTGATTTAAACCTCTTTGAATATGCAATCCTTTTTCCCCCTATCAACCCTACAGTTCCCAAATCATTCTTTAATGTTTGAATATCAATAGAATTGGTGATACTTCCTATAGTACCAAATCCAGCCATAATTCCTTCTACTATATCTCTTTTTTTCTGTTTGATACTTTACTTCCTCCAAACCAATGTTCTAAGCCAATGTAAGGAACATTTTATTTAATAAATGTTCCTTACATTGTGGAAATTTACTTGAGATTTTCCACTGTGAAACATTAAAATGCCAAACTATTGTTGCAAATTTCCTATCTAATAACAAAGGCTTTGATTGAAAATGATTCAATTGAAAGGGACTTGATAACTTAAAAACCTTATTTTTGCATTCTACCATTCTGGGAAAGAATACATGTACCTTAACATCACCACATCTCTCATGATGATTTCTTAACATTATACAACATTGATAGTTTCCACTATCACTGTAGGTAGGATTGTCTAAATAGAAAACAAACATTTCTTCCGACCAATCCACCTTTCCTAGTACACCTCTGTGAATAACCTTTGGCGTTGTATCTGACATACTACCCAAAAACATTCCTTCCCTTTTCCATGTCATTACAGACTCAGGGGGTAAACTTATATGTGTACTACATGTTAATCTAAGTCTTTCCTTTCCATCCTGGATATCTACAAGACTAGGCTTTATTATAATATCTTGCATAACATAATCAGTTACCAGAAACATCATGTTAACTCTTACTGTCAACGATTCCCTAGATGCTTGTATTTCCCATATCCAAGGTATACCTGGAGTATTGTTTTTTTAAGAGGAATTCTGGCTCTAAATGTATAAGCCAATATTGAATTGTATAAAGTACCTCACCACCTCGTCCTCGCGTTGTTACTGAAGTTTGTGCAACGTTCACATACATGTCACCTGACCAATTTACCATTTTATCTCCATTATCTACATTCATGATATATGCATTTTGTAATATGTTAAGTTCCCATGATCCTGTTTTTACATTGTCTTGTACAAATTAACCTTTGGTCCAACTAAATAAATCATTAGGACCTATTTTAATGTTTACATTAATAACACTATCTCCTGTGAAATTAATTTGCACATTGCATACTTGTAGATAGCCATCTTTTGTCCCGAAACAAACATGACCTTTTAATACTTGTTCATTGTCTCTCTTTTTTCTAATATTTCCAAATAAGTCATTCTTTAATTCCTGATTGAAAGTTGTTTTGTTTATCTTAAAAATAACTATTACAAGAACTGTAGTCATCAATGTTAGCAGGATGCTGACGAACACCTTCTTTCTGCTACACGGTTGTCTTTGCTAACACATCGTCTGTCACCGGCCAACTTTCGTCTGTAGGTCTGCTTACAAATTATCTAAAATAAACTAAGAAAAACAAAGCAGTATCAATATATTACCAAATTATGTTGTAGGTTTATACAATTTGCACTGATCTGCATGAACCCAAAAACAATTTTGCCTCTGTTTATTCCGTGAACCATCAAGAGTTCTTTGCACTTGTACCATTGTATCTGTTATGTTATAAGGACCTTCCCAGTTTGCCTCCCAAGGTCCAGTTTTCCTAAAAGTTTTTATCATGACCATACCCCCTTTAAAAACTTTTAAAAAATCAGGAGGTGCCATTTTGCACATACGAGTAGCTGCATGTGGAAGAATTTGCTCCAAATTTTCCTGCAGCATTTGCAACCATTTATTTTTAGCAATTGCATCTTTCTGTGGGGTAGACAAATATGGCTCATTAGGAAAATTCAACTGTATTTTCCTACCTGTCATCAATTCACATGGAGTGTATTGTGTAGCTGAAGACACAGTGCCTCTAATACCCATAAGTACAGCAGGAAGTGTCTGTATCCATGTTTTGCCTTTCTCACGTAACATTTTTGAAAGTCTAGATTTCAATGTTCGATTCATACGTTCCACAATCCCAGCAGATTGTGGATGATATGGAACATTAAATCTCTGCTCTATGCCTAGAATAGCACACAGTGCTTGCATGATTTTCCCTGTGAAATAGGTACCTCTGCCTGACTCTAGAAGTCTAGGAAATCCCCATCTTGAGAAAATGTGTGTCCATAATGCTTCAGCCGTTTTTTGTGAATCATCTTTAGTTAGAGGAATTACTTCTAACCATTTAGAGAATACATCCACAACTACTAACACATATTTTAAACCATTCTTACCTGTTGGTGATGGCCCAATAAAACAATTTGTAAAGTAGTCCAAGGACCATTTACAGGTGCTATATGTTGTATAGGCGGTTTTTGTCCTTTAGGTCTGGGTCTATAGCATGTAAACATGGTTCTTGAAACGCAATTCCAAATATGGTCTCTAGTGTCTCTTTGTGTGCTAACACTTTATTTGAGGCATCTACAAACCCTCTTCTTTTCCATATAGCTAAATGGTCTGTTAGTGACCTAACCACATATGAACTATCACTATATATCACTAGGGGATGCCCTTCTTTTTCCTCAAGTGTCAGTACTGTTTGTAATGCTTCTAGTTCTGCTCTCTGTGCTGACAAATGACCTGGCAATTTATGCTCTACTGAATATCCTCATTTTGGATACCATATAGCATAACCTGTATAGTTCTTCCCATCTGAACAGAATCTGGACCCGTCAACAAACACAGGTTCATCAGATTCACTTGCTTCCTTTCTTAAAAGAGAAAGACAATTCTCTTCAACTTCTGCTAAACATTCATGGGGTTTACCCTCATATTGCATTAGTTGTGGAAGTACATGCTTTGCCTTATGTTCTACCTTAATTTTCTTTGGTGATAGAGCTATTAACCATTGTGAAAATCTCTGATGTGACACACCTGGGATTCCTCTTTCAAGAAGTAATTTCAAAGGTGTGGGTGGTGTTTGCAGAATTATGTCCTTGAATCCCACTATGTGTTCAGTTGCCATTGCAAAATGTACTCCTACCAAATGTCTGGCACAAATTTCTAGCCCTCTTTCCACTGGGGAAAGAATTTTAGAACAATATCCCACTATTCTCCATATCTCTTGCTGCAATTGTAATAGTAATGTGGAGACAGCCGTCTCTGAAGTATGTACTTGAATTGCAAAAGATGCAGTTGGATGTATTGTCGCTAAAGCAGGTGCAACCTGTAAGTCTCTTAAGTACCTCAAATGCATTCTGATGTTCATCTGTCCATGGTCCAAATGAAGATTCAAGAGATCATATAAAGGTTTGGCTTTTTCAGCGAACCCTTCAATGAATTCTCTGGAAAAAATCATTAATCCTAGGAACTAGGAACTGGCGTAAGGCCTTGTGTGAAGTCGGTACAGGAAGAGAAGAAATAGTTTTGATTCTTCCCTGCACTGGCTTCTTGTGTCCTGGACCAATGTGTACACCCAAGTATTGTACTTCTGGTTGCATCAGTGTTACTTTGCATGTTTTAAACCAGAATCCTGCAAAAGGAAAAAATAATTCATTTAACAGAATCAGGTGTTCTTCCTCGGTTTCAGTCTGCAAAAGCATATCATCAACATATTGTAACAAGCATTCTGGCCTAGAAAACTTGACAAAACTTTTGCCAATGCCTGATGAAAATATGTTGGAGAACTGTGAAAACCCTGGGGTAAACGCATATTGCTGATTTTGAAATGTAAAAGCAAACTTATATTGACAACTATGCTTTAGTAGTACAGAGAAAAACCCATTACTTACATCTAGTACTGAATATACCTTAGCCGTTGACGTCAATCGTGACATCATATCTGGGGTTTCTGCCACCACATGTGCAGAAGGTGGTGTGGATTATTATGTTTGTAAATCAATTGTTAACCCCTTAAGGACTGGACTGTTTTTGCGATGTTGTACATTTGCGACCAGGCATATTTTTACACTTTTGTGGTGTTTGTGTTTGGCTGTAATTTTCCGCTTTCTCATTTACTGTTCCCATACAAATTATATATTGTTTTTTTCAGGACAAAAGGGGCTTTCTTTACATACCATTATTTATATAATCTCATGTATTTTAATTTTAAAAAAATACAAAAATCTGATGAAAAATTGAAAAAAATACATGTTTTTTGACTTTTACTTGAAAAATCTTTTACTCATCTACAAAAGCGAATGAAAAAAACTGCTAAATAGATTCAAAATTTTGTCCTGAGTTTAAAAATACCTAGTGTTTACGTGCTTTTTTGCTTTTTTTTGCATGTTATAGGGCTATAGGTACAAGTAGGATATTGCGGTTTCAAAACATACATTTTTAAAAATTTATCAATAGTGACATTGTAACACTATTATCTGTCATAAATCTCTGAATAACACCCCACATGTACATATTTTTTTTAAAGTAGACAACCCAGGGTATTCAATATGGGGTATGTCCAGTCTTTTTTAGTAGCCACTTAGTCGAAAACACTGGCCAAAGTAAGCATTCATATTTGTTTGTGTGTGAAAAAGTAAAAAAACTAAATTGAACGCTAATTTTGGCCAGTGTTTGTGACCAAGTGGTTACTAAAAAAGACTGGACATACCCCATTTGCAATACCTTGGGTTGTCTTCTTTTGCAAATGGTATGCCATCATGGGGGTAATTCTCATTCCTGGGCTACCATACGCTCTCAAAGGCAACGTAACCAACCTGGCCATTTTCAATGTAAAAATATTTGACCCATATATTTAACCTTGTAACTTTCAAAAATGCTATAAAACCTGTACATGGGGGGTACTGTTTTACTCGGGAGACATCGCTGAACACAAATATTAGTGTTTAAAAACTGGAAAACGTATCACAGCAATTATATCATCAGTAAAAGTGCTGTTTGTGTGTGAAAAATGCAAAAAAAGTAACTTTCACTGACAATATCATCGCTGTGATATGTTTTACTGTTTTGAATCACTAATATTTGTGTTCAGCGAAGTCTCCCGAGTAAAACAGTACCCCCCATGTACAGGTTTTAGGGTGTCGTAGAACGTTACAGGGTAAAATACAGTGCTAGCAAATTAAATTCTCTGGAATTTCGGCCTGGGTTGGCAGGCAGGTCCCTCAAATTGCAATCAATAAAATTACTTAATTATGTAAAAATATTACATAAATACGCACGTAGAATTTAAATATATATGCATATTTATATATTTGAAGTCTACGTGTATATTTATATAATTATTTATGTAATTTTGTATATGGACGTATGTATATTTCTTATTATTTTTATTTATTTTTATATACATAGATATATATACAAATTCATTCTAAGTGTATTTTGATATAAATATATATATATTAATTTTAAAATACAGTTAGAATAAAATTTCATATAGCTATATAATTTTTTTTAAATTTTTTATTATTATTTAAAAAAAATTTTATTTAATTTAAATTACTTATTATTTATATTTTATAATAATATATATATACAATATATATAGTTATTATATATATTATATATATACGTGTGTAATTTAATTATAAGTGTATTTTTATATTAATATAAGTACATATTAATATAAAAATACACTTAGTATGACATTATATATATGATATATAGACATATATTATATAGATATAATATATGTCTATATATCATATATACACATATATAATTATTATTATTTTTTTATTAACATTAACTTTATTTTTTTTTTTGATTTTACACTAGCAGGGAGACTGCCTGTCAGCACAGACAGTCCCCTGCAGGCAGACACATGGACACCTATTGTGACCATGTGATCGCTGTGTTAAGCGATCACATGGCCACAGGGGTCCTAATCTGCCGTGGGGAGACTGTCTGGGCTGCAGGCAGTCTCCCCACAACCGGAGCCACGCTGATCGCCGCCGGGGGAACGACGGCGATCAGGTAAGTAGCTCTGACCGTTAGGACGGTTCAGGACCGTCATCGGTCGGCAACGCAAAAATGCCGATGACGGTCCTGAACCGTCCTCGGTCCTTAAGGGGTTAATCTCCAGGAATCTGAATCTTTTTTTCAATATTGGCCACAGATTATGATTGCATGGACTATTTGCTTTTCTAATTACTCCTCTCTGTTCCAAATCATTAATGACACTTGCAATAGAATCTATTGAATCTGGGGGTAATCTATACTGCCTCTGTGGGAGTGGATCAGGACCTTGAATGTCAATCAGCACATTTTTAAATTTTCCACATTCATTTTTACTTTGTGCCCATAAATCTGGATAACTCTGTACAATCTCTTTAAGTTCAAGGTTATCCCCAGTATTAGGCCATTGCATTTCTGTAGACACTACATCTACTGGATAAACAATTCCTAGCTCCCCATATTCAGTAGGATCCAATAGCACTGGTGTCCTAGCCTTAGCATCTTTCCAAATAGCTTTGTTTCCCAAATCAACAATCCAACCTCTTTTTTTGCGTAACATCTGTGCCTATGATATTATCAACATTTTTGCAGTACCAGATATAAATTTTTGTTTTTAAACACTGAGGTATTTCTAAAGTAACATTATTTACTAATGTTGCCATAGATCCTCCACTTCTGTCAAATCCTAAAATTGTACATATAGGTGCACTTGGTGATGAAGGTAGTTGTAAACTAGTTATACTTAACTGAGCACCTCTATCAACGAGAAATTCTGTGTCATAACCTTTTTAAAGAACATTTAATGTATGGTATACCACATCCATCTAAATTTAATGGAGCCAAAAATCCAAGTGGACGTGGCCTGATTCCTTTAGATTGTCACTGTGAATTTAAAATTTGGTCAGCCTGATTAGAAATGTTAGAAATCACACCCTGTCTGTCTCCTGTGTTTGAGGAAGCTACAATTTCTCTCACTTGCCTTATCAGAGGAGTATATGGCGAATCTCTGGGGTTTTCTATATTAGGATTATTGTGAATAAATCCATTTGATTTGCCATGATCCCTTGATTGTAAATCATAAAAATAATTCCTGCAGTTTCTCTTTATATGACCTGGCTTGTTACAATAGAAACAGATCAGACTATGTGTCGAGTTTCTTTCATAGTGTGAGTGGGGCATATTAAAACTTGGAGCTTCTCTCCTCTTTGTCTGAGTTCTAACAACTGCAGGAAGCGAGGGAAGAGGGGACTTTCTGTATCTGGGTTTGTCCTCTCCCGTTTCTCTCCTAACTGCACAGACAGATTTTTTAACAGTTTGTTGTCTGGATTCCCTTCTCACCCTATCTAGAAATGATGCAGCGTCTTCAATATTTTGACACTGGAGAGAGCATGAAATTGATATTGGATCAAGATTTTTAATTTTTTTTTACAAATGCATTTATCATAGATTTTGGTGTCTGATCATCAGGAATACTCATTACCAATCTGTATGCACGCTCAAATTTTAAAAGGAAACTGAAGACATCTTCATTTATATTCGGATTTAAATTTTCTAAAATCTCAATATACACATGCTCATTTCCTGTTGTTAATCTTATTAATTGTGTCAATCTATCTCACTCATTCCCATGGACTATTTCACCATTTTTGTCATTGGGGGTACTTATGGGTGGAGTCAGTCTCCGTGCAATGTATGTTGGCAGCCATATTTTAAACAATCTGTTCCTTTGTTCGTCATTCAAATTATGTTTAGATAAATTAGACTCAAATACATCTGCATTACCAAAGGCATCCATTGATGGATTATATGGGGGAATATCTTTGGTAACTTTCATCAGCTGCTCTTGAATTTTTAATTTAAGTTTTGCAGCCTTATCTAACAATTTTCTACGTTGCAAATCAGACTGGGATGATATTTCTGTGACATCAACTGGCTCTGGTATCAAATTATGATCACTCCTTGTAATCACACACAACTGTTTGGCTTCAGTTCTAAGCTTACAAATTAATTCAGATTTAAGATCCAGCTGTTCTCCCAAATCACAAATACTTGCCTGTAGTCTATCACAGTTAGTACATTTCATTTCTGTTACACATACAGATTTCTCTTTAATGTCTGTCTGTGTACTTTTTAAATTTTGCACCTTTACTTGTGATGGTACTTGCAATTTTGGTGGAGCCACTCCTGTTCTAAGGTTCATTGTGTCAAAGGTTTCTACCAATTTTAAAACATTTCTAATTTTCTTTTTTGTTTTATTTAAACATAACAATTTATTATCAATAGCTGCATTTGCTTGTTTACATTGCTCATACAAACTTGCCCACAATTGACTATCTGTATAGCATCTATTAAACACAAAATCAAGTTTACTTTTCTCTGCAGTATCAGTAATAAAATCCATTATTACTCACCAGACAAGTTGATCTTTAATGCATGACACAGTCTGCTTTTACTCGTACAGCTGCACAGTTCTGGGCTTGATTCTGGATGCTTGCCAATCTCTGCCACGTGCTTGCTTCTAGACTTCACATTGTATCTTGTGCTGCTTTGTTTATAACACGTGCTTTTGTCTGTTGTAGAATATAATCTTGGAACAGTCTTTGTGATTTGAAAATCTCTGTCTTCTGATAAACACACACAGCTCTTAACACAGCTTTTAACACGGTTCTTTTTTCTGTTTCTGGCTGCACACACTTCTATTCAACACAAAAAGTAATTTGATATCCGTCCTCTCTCTGCTCAACTCCGCCCCCCCCCCCGAATAGACGTTTGTAACACCAGAAAACAGTCTGGCTGGCTCGTCAATGTAATAACTGGCTGTGTTTTTCTTTAGTTGAATAAGTCTTTTATGTATATATATATATATATATATATATATATATTGTGATAAAAGTGGAATTGTGCTTGATGGAAGATACATCAGGCCTGATTTGTTAAACAGCAACCTGAGAATTTTCAGTTAAATGCCCCAGGGAGAGATGTTTGAGTTTGCAATCTACATTGCTAAGGTTCTGCAAAACATGTTATGGGTCCCTGGGGCGGAGTATTTGGAGAGCAGGGTGGGCCAATGCTCCAACAGCATTAGTTGCTGTGTAACAGACCACTATTTGGATCTGACTTACGAGTTAGTTAATTGGCACTCACCTGTAGCCAGTCAATTAGTAGACAGGCCTTTAAAAGAACATCCACAGATATAAAAGATACATCGATGATGTTTTCTTTATATGGGAAGGTGAGATGAATGATTTACAGAAGTTTCTGGAATATGCAAATAAGAACACCCGGGGAGTGCAATTGAATACTACTTGTAGTAAAACACAGGTAGAATTTCTTGACCTCACCATCTATATAGAGTCTGGGAAAGTAAAAACGAAAACGCACTTCAAAGAAGTTGATGTGAACAGTTTTATTCTTAAAGAGAGCTGTCATTTACCCACGTGGTTAAAGAACGTACCCTATAATGAATTTAGACGTCTGAAACGCAATTGCAAAGACTCTGAAGTTTATAGGGAACAAGCGGAAACAGTAAAAAACAAATTCCTGTCGAAAAATTACCAACAGAAAGAAATAGAGGAGGCACTATGTAGAGTAGAGAAGCTAGATCGTATCAATCTCATGAAAAATAGAGATAAATCACAAATAAAAAGAATAGGAGAAGATTTTCCAGCAATTATCTTGAATTACAACAAAGAAAATAAACAACTAAAAAGAATACTTACTAAACATTGGCATTTATTGAAAAAAGATAAAATACTGGCCGACATTTTACCAGCAAGACCCAGAATAATTTTTAGGGGCGCACCGAACCTAAGAAGAAAAATAACAAATAAACATCTAAAAGGAAGGAATGTCCCAATTATAACAAAGAAGAATGGTTTCTTTTATTGCCTAGACTGTATTGCATGCAAAGAAAGTAAATGCAAACAAACAAAAGGAGTATTTGAAGTTATTAACAACAACTGCAAGAAAGGGAGAGAATCCTTTAAAATAAAGGAAAATATCACCTGCCACAGTAGTAACGTAATATATGTACTGGAGTGCCCATGTGGGCTCCAGTACGTAGGAAGAACAAAGAGGCAGTTGTATGTGAGAATAAGAGAACACATGTTGAATATAAAAAAGGGTTATATGCAACACTCAGTCTCAGCCCATTTTAAGCAGTATCACAATTCGGATATGAGTCTTTTGAATTTTAAGGGGATATGCAAAGTAAATAAAAATTGGAGAGGCGGAGACCATAATAAACAATTGGGCATTACTGAGATGAAATGGATTTACAATTTAGATACGTTGCAGCCTAAGGGATTAAATGCTGAGTTTGAGCTCTGTCATTTCTTGGGATAAATTGCCTCTTCTCTCACTCCTCCCCCCCTTTTTTTTTTTTTGGGGTCCTTTAAGAATAATAGTCTTAGCTCTTTATAGAGTAAATATAATTTTTACGATATATAATCTATAGAGGCAGTACAAGTATTAAGGTTTAAAACATCAAGACTGCCTCAAGAACAAATTTTCAAGGTCAAAATATTGATCCTAGTTTCAATATAGTAATTATCTATATGAGAATTAATAGATACAATTTATCCTATTTTATATAATAAATTTTGCTTAAGTAAAAATTTTTTTAAATTTTTTTTTAAATTTTTTTAATTAATTTTACTATCCTCTTGTGCTTAGTCGTGCTAAATGCAAACGGCAGTTATATTTGAACCTGCTTAGGCGGGTGTTACTATAGTAACAAGAATTACAATATACTATGTTGTAATGTTTTTCATTTGTGCTCTTATGTAGCTAATTAGGCTTACATTGTTAGCACATTTCTGTAAGCATCTATTTTTTTGCCGGGAAACAGCAAGCCGGCTACTGCTATATAAACGGATACAACGAAGCAGACCGCATCCATTGAGAAAGCCGCCGAAGCGGAGAAACGCGTTTGGAGGGGTCTGACTCCCATCGATACAAGCCAGCACTTATACATCAAAGAGGACTTTTAAAATGATATTTTTCAGCATGCTTTTTGGTTGACTCGGGACGCCGAGATTATCAAATAAGGTCTGGACTTTCTTTCCTTTTGTGCATGGTTTTTTTCTTAAAATAACTATTTTTAACAGATGGTATTTTTATTTGTTTATTAATAAATTGTGTTTTACAATTATTATTGAGTACGTAAGTGAGACTATTATGAATAACTAGATGATAAGGTGCTTCTATTGACTTTAAAAGAAGAGGGCAGCCTGCTGCAGAGTGAGGGAGAAAAAGACAGCTAGTAGAGATTGTGTTTATTGCAAAGACATTTCTTTTATTTGGAAAATTGGTAAGTGGGAAAGCCACCCAATTGCAGATAGCAATTACTGTCTAGTAAGAGCTCAAGTAAGAGCAAGGGATTTTGTTTGTTTTTGTTATTATTTAAAGAACCTGTTTTCTTACTGAATAAAAAGGAAAACTGAGCTGAAGGTGTCCTGGACTTTGTATACCCTAGAAGGCTGTGGTTACTGCAAGATCGGTGACAATCCTACCTGTAAAAGAGGTGGTTTGTTACAATATATATATATATATATATATATATATATATATATATATATTTCTTATTTTGGGTCAGGCTCGCCACAATAATATATGTCTATATTATTGAAAAGTACTAATACGGCTCGCCACAATAATATATGTCTATATTATTGAAAAGTACTAATACGCAATCTGATGTTCTTTACAAAAAATAAGTATTTATTCTACATTCAACAGCAAACAATAATATACTTAACAGATGGTATTTCTTAATGATGTTACAGAGAGTCGTCTTTGTATCAGCAACTTAGCACATCAGAGAGTAGAGCAAAATGGATCGTAGCAGGAAGAGACTGTAGTCCTTTGTCCTTGGCTCTATATAGCCCAAATTATGTCATAACGTTTAGTTTAGACTTTGCCATATAAGGAAGTTCCCTATATAAAGACCACCTCAAATCTCTTATACAGCACATTCCAGAGACCTCATGGTACAGAATAGCAAACGCCATCTGTTCTGATTAACCCATTAGACAGCCACACCTTAATATGTATTTGAATAGGAACATATAGAATATGCAATATTTTACAGGTACTGTGAGCTGTCAGGCAGTCCCCCAGGCTGCTATAAAGTAAAAATAATAATAAAATATGTGTATTATATTTGTATAATATATTGTAGAATAATTCAAACATTTTATAATATATTATAAATATATTATGATATATGATTTCATTATAAGTGTACTTTAATATATATACACATAGTGGATGGTGCTTTTAGGAGTTATATAAGGGTTGTGGTCATTAGCTTGGCTAATATAGCTTGGTTGCTGCTTCTAATTGTTGCTTCAAAGTGTATGATTGGAGATATTCTGGAGAGTTTTACTGATTCTGTCTAAGATTTTGCTAAGATTTGCTGTTACGGGTAAGATCCATCTATAGGAAAAGGTTACTGATTGTAAAGGTTTGATTTCCTTTTTGGTAATTGACAAGGCATTTGATTTAATTAGCTAGGAGTTTGCTATTGATTGTTGGTTAATTAGCTATTGTTTGCAAATAAGCATTGGCCTAGCCAGGTGTTAAACATTCCTAGTGAGTGGTGCTTTTAGGAGTTGTATAAGGGTTGTGAACATTAACCTGGCTAATATAGCTTGGTTGCTGCTTCTAATTGCTACTGCTACTGCTACTGCTACGTGTGTGATTGGAGATATTCTGGAGAGTGCTGCTTCAAAGTGGGTACTTGGAGATATTCTGGAGAGTGCTGCTTCAAAGTGGGTGATGGAAGATATTCTGGAGATAAACTGGAGATAATCTGAGGTTACAGGAGAAAAGAAAAGGTAAGATTTGTTTAATTTAAATTACTCACCTCATTAAAATGGCAGACTTAGTTCAGTGTAATAGATGTTATGCATTTGTTTCCCATTCCACTTTTTTGGAGATTTAGATGCTGTCTAATCTGTAGACAGTTCTCTATATTGCAGAAGGAGATTGTATTTCTAAAGTCTGAGATTTGTAAATTATCCAGTAAACAAACTCAGGCTGGAACTGTTGCATAGCCACTGCCG